TCCCAGCACTGCAGAAATCAAGCTCTTGTCCACGGGTCATTAAGGAACTGAATGCACGAGTCTCTTTTCATGGGGTGATCACTTTAACCAGACTGTTCCATGAGCAAGTAAATCAGTCTCAGGTACAGGAGATGAACAATAAGAAATAACTCAGGAAATGAATAAAACAAAAAAGCCTGGAGAAGAGAAGGCTCCAGGGAGACCTTCTTGCAGCCTTCCAGTATCTGAAGGGGCCCCTCAAGAAAGCTGGGGAGGGACTTTTTAAAAGGCCTTGTAGTGATAGGAGAAGGGGTAACAGCTTCAAACTGGAAGAGGGGAGATTCAGATTAGAAATGAGGAATTAGTTCTTCATTATGAGGGTGGTGAGACCCTGGCACAGGATGCCCAGGGAAGTTGTGGATGCTCCACCACTGGAGGTGTTCAAGAGCAGGTTGACCAGGGCTTTGAGTGGTCTAGTGGGAGGTGTCCCTGCCCTGCCAGGGGGGTTGGAACAAGATGATCTCTAAGGTCCCTTCCAATCCAAATCGTTCTGTGATTCTAGGACAAGTTGCAATTGCCTATTTTTAATTCTTTGTGCAGGGTAAGAATATGCTGGTTCCTGTTTGTACATAAACAGTCTGACTGTAATGAACTTCTAAAGCAGAGAGGTATCATAGAAATTAGCATGGCACAAATGCTTCTATAAGTAGGGAATTCTTTGTGATTGCAGCATAATGGTGAGTTACAACAGTTTCAGAAGCTGGTAGGTGGCTTTGGAAAACATTGCTTGCTTGCTTTTGGGTGTTTTTTCCTTTCAGCACAGAGATGTCAGTGAACTGGACACTTACAGATACACAGGACAGGGTGGGAGACGACCACAACATGGTGATGGACAGTTATCTTCTGCTGCTGGCTCACTAAATCCCTGAGGAAAAGGATTTTATGCCCCTGACCTCTCTCCATCATAAACCCTCCCATTGCTAAAGCTATGCATTCCTCATAAAACACAACGTTACACGATCTGGAAGCATTTTCCTGCTGGAGCCAGGCACGACTGCTGCCAGCCAGCAGCCCAGGACTGAAGGAGCACCACACGTGACCCTCCACCTGCAAATTAACCACATCACTGGCAGCAGGAACTTTGGGAACTTGACCTTACAAGAGACATTTTTCCCTGCCAGGCTCTATTTGTTGCCTCCACTGATCGCTGCATTTCCTAAACAAGCAATTAAAGCACTACTCTGGAATTTTCCCTGCAGTCAGCAGCCGAGTGCTAGGATAACATCAACTGTTCAGGTGCCACGGTCGCCTCAGGGTGACACAAACAGCCAGGAGGTGGAAAGGGCCAACTTCTTCTCTGGCAGAGAAGTATCAGCAGAGGACAGCTTCACCACCTGTGGGACTGAAGGGACCCCTGTGCAAAAGGCACTGCAGCACCTCAGAGAGGGTAGGTGCACTATTTGGGTGCTGATTGAAGGGAAAGGGAAATCATTAGATCCCTGTTTGTCACCAGCACTCACACAGCGAGGGTAAATCACCCAATTCCTTTCTGCAACACCACCTTAAAGCCACGAGAGCCCTGAGCAATGAAAGCATGCAGTGAAAGAAATCTTCCTCTCAGTTCTGGTAGAAATGGATCAGCAGGTCCAGGAGTTACCAGGGAAGGAAGAAGAAACACACGCACATAAACAGCAAAATCATGAGCAGGTCAAACGCTTGGCTGGTTTGGGCAAGCAGGCTGAGAAGGGACTAATGACAAAGCAAAATACAATGACCTTGCAGTCATTTAGAGAGAGTCAGTTGTTCTCCACAGGAGGTGGAATTGGGCTGGAGTGTCTCTGCACACCCAGGCACGCTGGTGACGGCAAGCATGGAGATGGGAAGGTGGAAAACAGAGCTGCCAAACTGGAACAGATCAGAAGGAAGTTGAACAGTTTGTTTGAACCAAAGCAGTTTACAGCTTTATGATTTTCTTATCGTTTATCCTTGAGCTGCTATGAGATCCCCTCCTCCCTGTGTTCGTGGGCCTCACCCCCTGCCCTGCTCCCCAGGTCCCTGCAGACCAGGGCTGACCCCGCCCGGTGTCTCTCACCCCCAGCACTTGCTGTCAGCTCTGGAATTTGCTCCTGATTTATTCCACACCTGACAAAAGAAAGAAATGATACAGCTGCTGAGGGAGATTACTCATGTCTTCCTACTTGGCCAAAAGCTTTCTCAGGAAATTCTATTACTGGCCAGGGATAAAATGAAGTACTGCTGATAGAAACCTAATTGATTTTTCATATTTGCTGACTTGCAGTAAAGAGATGATAAGAAAACCAAAGATGGTCCATAACGCTGATCAAGTGAGAAACAAGGCTTAGAGGTACCTGACAAAATGCCCCTGCTTCAGCTTTTCAGAGACTTTTCCACACTCAGTACATTTTTGCCAGTTATGGCACAAACGCCAGCCCAAGCTACGAGGGTTTGCAGGTTCTTCCTGCATTAAAACCCTCCGTGCAGAAGGGTACAAGGAGGTGGAAAGTCATGTGCTGTTATTAAAAGAGAAAAAGGTGACCAAAAAAACCCAGTAAAGGTGGAAGAGACAGTCAAAGAAAAGCCAAAATTAAAATCCTTCTGTGTACAATAAATTAGATTAAGGGGATGACAAAAAATTTAATATAGAGAACAGAAGCTGCAGCAGATAAACAAGTAGCACAGACCTTTAAAGCTATCAAGAAATAAACATTTAATTAAAACCCCTATCGTTAAACAAGCAGGAAACGTTCCCTCAGCTTCACAGCAGCAGACAAAGACAGTAAAGTCTAACCAGCTTATTCCTAGATAAAGAAACCTGAAGGTCACGCTTAATTAACTCAGACCACTCCACCACTGGCATCTGTTCTACGAAATAAAACCAGATTCCCCACGGGTATCTGGTGCCTTGGGCTGGAGAAGAGGATGGATCTCCAGCTCTTCCAGCACTGGGCACCAAGGAGTCCTGGTGCTGGCACAGCGAAGTTCTGCAGGTTTCACACCAGGCACAAGGAGAGCAAAGACCATCTCTAACCCGTTTTTTGGACAGGGCGTGTGGCCAGGAGCTGATGCCCAGGAAGCAGCAGTCGATGCTCTCGTGCCAGCCACCCTCCCTTTATCAGTGGCAAGAGCAACAGCTCAGCCTGTGCTTGGCTGCTGGCAGCCAGGGGGAGACGCCGACTGCACCGGGAGCTCTGTGGAGTTCCTGAAGTCCTGCCCAGGGGTTTCCATCCCACCACTCGCAGCTCGCTTGGACGCCGCTCCATGCCCTTCTTTCAGACAATTTCACAAATCCTAAAGAAAACACCTCAATTTTCCTTCCCCTTTTTCAAGAGATTAATCCCAGGGAGGCAGCAGCTCCCGGCGGTATCCCTAATCCACCCCCACTGCTTTGTGTCACCTCCACAGCAATTAGGTGCCTATTCTGCTGCTTGTCATCCCCTCGCCCGTGTCGCGTAATCGTCTCGTCGTCTGGCTCGGGCGCTTCCTTCTCCACTTGTTCCCGCTGCTCTGGCACTGAAAACACAAATTAATCAAGGCAGAAACCTCCTATTCATCAGACTTTCACACCACGGCTTAGCACAAGGGGCAGAAGGCCTCTCCAAGCACAGAAATAAACACTAACATCAGAGGAAAAAGCATTAAGCAACAGACCAATTAATAGAAAAACTTTATTAGAAAGGAGGACGCAGCCTCCCAGGAACAACACTCCACATCACCTCTCAAACTTATACAAATTTAACGGCCATAATTAAATACAAATAGCTACAAATCTGGTGTGTGCATCTATAAAAGAAGGGAGAACTAATCCTTGAGCCGCTGTGATTTCAAACGTGGCCCAAGGAAGCATTTCTCCACGGTGGTGGGCAGGCACGTGGGCACGCAGCACACGCCGAGGCTGGGAGCTGGCACCCTGCGTGGGGCTGGGGGCTTCAGGGCTTCCTGTGCCAGGAACCAGGATGGGTTCTGCTCCCATCAGAAGTCTGTATTGCTTTAATGCAAGGAGGGAGGGGGAGAAGCAAATTTTTATGGCTTGATATTGCATCTGATACCTGATGCTGCACAATAGTTGGTACTTTCAGATCTTAAAATTGCACAAAATTGTGAAGATTATCCTATTGCTAGTTTCAATGGTGAACAGTAATAAAAACCAGAGGTACAGAAAAAAGCCTCATTTAACCCCCATGTCATCACTCTGGCATTGTTACCTGTGTAAAAAGCTAACCTATAACCTGTAATAACGAAGCTGGACACTCCCTGTGGGCTACCTCCTCCTCTTCCTCCTCCCCCCTGTGCCCAGAGCTGACCACAGCCAGAGCCAAGAGCACGTGCTTCTGCCATGGTGCCAAGCAACCCCAAGCTTCTGCCACGCAACTGCCCCACTTTGTCTTTGGCCACGGTGTGTGAAACAGCAGTTTAAGCCTCATTTAACACACTAGTCTCATTTACCCACCACCTACAGACGAGGAAATAAAACAGGGCCTAATTTACAAAAGCCTCTTCTACTCATACCCCCAAAAATATGCCCTGTCCAATCCAGCACCAGTTTGAAGAGCACTAACTCTGAGCGCATCAACCGCTGTGTTGTCATGAGGGGGTCAACCACTATACTGTGACTGCAGTTCAGCCACGTACTATTTAGTACAAAACATACACAAAAAAGAGGAAGGAATACTTAAAATATATCAATTTCTCCATTTCCGTAGAGACGTTATTCCACATCGTGCCATAAAAAGAATTTAAAGCAAAATAGATATACAAAAGCTGCTGTGCTCAGGTCGGCGGTATATGTACACATTAAAATGAGACCTATAAAAAAGTATTCTAGTAGCGAAGGAAATATAAAATATTTTATATAAACAGTACTTGAAAAGTATAAAATTAAGAATCAATGCATAGAAGGGAGTTTCACAGGCCCTGCAGCAACGTGTCACTCGCAGCAATGGCTGCGTTAGCAAATCCTCGCAGCCAAGGCAGAATTTACACCGGGTCCCACAGTGAACGACTCACTGCCTGCAGAATTCGCTGGTTATGTTGGGAAGAGGGTAGGCAAAGAGGGTGAAATCCAGGATGTATTTGGGCAACAGCTCTTTTATCAGGCGGCGGGGGGTGTTGCACAGGTAGTAGTGGAGCGTTTCTGCCGTCACGGGCTTGTACCAGGACTGCCGCTCGGGGAAGCGGACGAAGGAAGGTGCCTGGACTCGCTCCAGGACGTAGTTGGCATCTGTGTTCAACCGCTCGTAGGAGCCGATGAAGTCGTACCTCACGGCGCAGGGCTGGCACAGGTTGTAGATGGGCATCCAGTGCTCGTTCATCCTCTCCACGTCCTCGTCCAGCAGGTACTGGAGGAACTCGGAGAAGGTCACGTCGTCACCCGACGGATTCGCCCCGTTCTTCCGATACCGCCTGATGATCTCCGCCCCGTACTTCTGCTGGTACTCCTTGATCTCCCCA